TTTCTTTACTTTTAAAAATAATTATTTATTTACGTATTTGAAGGAGAATTGTAAAAAATGTACTTAAAATAAACTGCAAACCTCTATACATGTCAAAATATGTTCAGCTAGCTCGCACATGCAATGCACAACCAAAATTCAAGCGTCACCGAATCGATATTGCACAAGGTGTTATGCAATATCGATTCAGCTAAGTGTGGGGAAATACGTATATCGTGAATCTTATTTCAGGCGGGCTTACATATTACATTTGGTTCGGTTCGGGGCCAGAGAGGGTACGATAAGTTACGTCAAAGTGAATGATTTTCCTTAAATGCATTTGAGACTAGAAATATAATAGTATATATGAGTAAGGCCGTCTAATTGGCCTCATATAACACAAAACTAACTTATAGGTATAAGTTACCGGGTAATTTAAAATTAATATAAAAGTTTCTAAAGGCATGTCTACAATAAGAAAACAGTCAGGGTTCTTTTCAAACATTAATACATTCTAACAAGTTCAGTAAAACTCCGTTTTAAATTTTAATACTTTACTTTTTCTATGCTTTGTTTTCGGGCTGAAGTGAGAGGTATATGTCACATAAAAAATTAGATCCATTAATTCTTATTCCATCATTTTGCAAAAAAATAATCGAGTCGTATTTGGTAGAAATAGTTCAAAATGATGATTTATTAAAGAAAAAATAATAAATATAGCACACTTAAAGTTTAATATTCAGTCACTCACTTCGCTCTTCACTTACGCATGGCGCCACGTCGCCACACCGCACTAAATGTTACACACACTATCTCATAGCGTGGCGACGCACGTCACCAGGCCAACAGTCGGGTCGGGTGCTATGCGGTTAAACAAACGATCAAACAAGTTTTTACGTAATAATATCCTAATGATTGGACATAATGATTCCCCAAACAATATTTCTACTCAGTTGGCAATATTTAGAGATCCAATCATCTCTAAAAGAAATATACATGTTACAGTGTTCGACACCATTTAGAAAAAAAAGCAGATAGTCGACTATACAAAAAATGACAAAACCCCTTTATCAGCTATTCAAACCCGTAATTACTTTAATTAAGTTTCATAATAAGAAACTATCATCATCAATATAAGTCTTCAGCGCGTTAACGCACTGCTTTTAAGATATTTATTGTACAGTTCCCAATGTGCATTAGGCTTTATATCACTTTTATGTTATGTAACATAAAATTATACAACAATGGTAATATAAAACCTAACCTCTCTCTCTCTAATTTAAACATTATGTTTACTAAATAATCTGTCGATTAAGATCGCAAAAGGACACATACTCACCTTAAAATCGCTTAACGTTTTTTGCATAAATATATTTTTAATATCATTCATTGATTTTTTCATTCCCGAATATTTTATTTAGTTTATTACGACTTCAAGCGCGGATCCACCGTTGTGGGCACGATGGGCATCCCATAACCTTAATAGACTTGTGCCGGCACAACATGTTATGACGTCTCATCTCATTGAGACATGCGACCAATTTATACCTTAACATAAAAAAAATCTTACAAATACGTAAATCACTATGAAGTTTTGAGATCTCCGAAATTCGAAAATGGAACGCATCTGGATCATATATTATTGGAAGGCAAATTTATTTGAAAATCGAACACAAAAGGCTATTTAAAGCTTAAACGTGAACATTTGCGTTCTATGAAACGAGTATATTACGACTTTAAATGTCGATCATCTGAAGGTTTAAGCTTAAAACGGTTAAAATCAGCTTTAGGCGAGTCTGCTTCTCCAGCAACAATTTTTAGATGGTGTAACGAATTTAAAAGGTGGAAAACTAACCTTGTAAATAATGATGATGATGATGACGGAAGTAGGTGCCCGCCAAGAGCAGTCACTGCTGATAATTTGTGGGATATTAAAATGCATTTGCGAGATAACCCACGAATTACATACAGGGACATAGAGAAAATCTTAGGCATCAGTCAAGTTAGTGTTCACACTATATTACATGAACATCTTAGTGTGGAATGGTGGGGTGAGAATGCGTCCACGTTTTAAAAAGGGGTGGTCAGACGTGTTTTAAAAGAAAAGAACAACTGAAGCTAAAACTACTCGTATGTATTTACCACCGTTTTTTAATAAAAGTAAGCGTTGTTGCGATCAAATATAAAATAGATACCATTTCCATGTCAACAATTATGTTAAATAAGTGGTAGGTACTAGGTAATGCAAGCAGCCCTAGTCCGCTCATGCATTTAGTTAGTAATAGTAAACAGACAATGTAATTAAGGTCCCTGTAAGTAAATATTTTAAGTTTCAATGTACAGCGTCTGCAGTTTATTACTCACCAGAAACGGAGTGGATTTAGGCTTTTAGACTCGGGTAAGAAGATACGAAACTAACTTTTTAAAATATAATTTCAACTTATTTTATCTATGTAATGGTCACAAACGAACACCATTATGGTCCTTTAAGAATACAACTCAACATTAAAGAAATTCACTAAGAAGTCATCCAAAAATATTGAATATTGAGTTTTAAAAATTATAAAAACATAGAACATCTGTGCAAGAGTAAGTGAATATCACTAGTTAAAATACACTGAAGTTTTATTTTGTTATAGGTACATTTGTATTTTACAGACTTTAATTTATTGGTGTCGCAAGCTTGCAGTCGAGCCGTATTACAAACTGGAAATATTTTATCTTCCTCTACCTACAACATAAATTACGGTCAGCAGTGCCAATGACGCTTATATTGCACATGCTCAATGTTTACAATAAACCTTAAATTTTCTAAATACGTGTATGCAGTAGGTAGTTAAAGAACACAGAGCAAATATAGATAGTTCAACTCAGATGTGCGCGTGGCCCTATATGTGGGTAAACCTTGTACATATACAGTGACTTTGTGTGCGTGACAAGAGGTACAGTCGTACAAATACTTTTATTATTTACGGGTTATATACGGGTTTAAAAAAAAAAGAGTTATTTCGTAATGTAATGTTTATTTATTGAACATTATTCTGAATCGCTACTTGAAAAATCAAATGATGAATTTTCGGATTCGCTGCTCTCACCAAGGTTAATTATGAATTCTGACTCCATGTCAAAATGTCTATAGTATTCTTCTTCTTTCTTTTGTACATATCGACAAGTATTACCCCACATCCCTTTATCAATTTGACTTAAACGTTCATTTATGAGTTTCATTATTTCCGTCACATTTTGGTCGACATAATGCGAAGCAATATAATTCTTTAAAATTCCCCACACATTTTCTATGGGGTTTAGTTCAGGATGATATATGGTGGCAGTCGAAGAATTTTTATGCCATATTCTTGTAACAGATATATTTTTCTTTATTTTTTTTAATCAAACCATACAGTTCAATTTTTTTCATATCTTGATTAAAAGCTATATTTTTTCTGTCAGCCATCTCTGCATTTCTATTTTTTTGGAATTAGAATTTGGGGCTCTGTCATTTTGAACGTTATGGTATGAGGCATTATCAAGCACAACCAGAGTTAGGTGGAAGATCCGGTACTAGACGTTCTTTTAGCCACTTTTCATAGTTTTCTGCGTTCATGTTAGAGTGGTAATCACCAGAAACACTATTTGCTTTGTATGTCAATAGTGCGTTAGGTACGAAACCTTGTTCTGAACCAGCATGCACAATGATAATTCTTTGTCCTTTCGACAGGTTTCTCTTTAAAGGTGGTCCATCTTTATTACCCCATCCTTTGTTTTGCACATGATTAGTTAAGATGTAGCTCTCATCTGTATATACGATACTCCGATTTTCTTGACGGTATCTGAGTAAATTTTTTAGGTAGGAAAATCGTAGTTTTTGGATGTCATGCCGCTCTATAACAACACGTCTGTTATCCACAGTTTTTCGCCATATGTATCCCAACTTTAACAAAGCTGTACGCAGAGTCGAAATACTTCAATCATAGTTAAGTTTATCTTGAAATATTCTTTTCAACTTTAGCAAGGTAGGTAACTCGCGATGTTCTAAATGGTAATTTTGAATAGTGGAACGTATAACATCAACGTTAAAGTTGTCTAATTCTAACTTTTTTAAACGTTTTTTACGGTCTTTATGCGGAGATTTAAATTAAGAGTCAGATTCTTTTCCTTCAGCCAATATATTAGTAATTGTTCTCTCTGATATTGCCATTGCCCCACTGCCATTGCTGTTCTTTTCTGTACGCTATTTAAATGTTCACTTAATTTCGATATTAAAATTGGACTTGCACTGCAAACTGGATCACTTACTAGTTCCAATATATTTCTCGCATCTATTTTCAGAAATTCGTATACCTTAGCAATGGTTTCTCGAGTCTAAAACAATAATACGTAAACGTCAACAAGGATATATTTTTTCGTATATAGAATCATAATAAATATTAATTACATCTAAATTTAAAAAATATTTACCTGACTCCTTAAACATTTTCTCCGTGAAGAACTAGACATTTTCGTAAACGACTAAAAAAAAAGCGATAAGAACACGTCTTGCTCGGACGACGACTGCCGCGTCACTGCCACACGAATGAAAGCTGTATATTTACAAGCCCACGCACACATAGGGCCGCGCGCACAACTGAGTTGAACTATCTATACAAAGAATTTGATCCGTATTAGAGAAATTCTATAGCGCCACCTCTTGACAAGTAGAAAAAATGTTTTCATTGAATGTTAATCTTGTAATTTTTATCAAAGTCTAAAAGAGAGCGGCAATGTCACACATAATAGTTTTCTTATTTGAAAATACTTTAATTTGTACAATTGTTTTTTATTTTAATAAATGACGTTACCAACACATTTCCAAAATAGGTAATAAAATTAGTCAATTGGCTAAAAGTTCTCGCTCTTAAATAAATAAAACTTTTTAGCTAATGTTTTATATCGCGGAGTTCCTGGTCTGAATTCCATCACTTCCAGTATGATAAATCTAAAAGCTTTTTTCTAAACAGGTGCTGCTGTCAAAGCCAGTGACCATGGTGGTGCAGTGGAGTGAAGTTCGCACCGCCTGGCAAGATAGTGACTTCATCACGGAATGTTTGTGCTGGCATAATGTGTACCGGCAGCGGCACGGAGCTCCGCAGCTTTATATGGCGCCAGAGGTAATAGTACAATTCCTTAAATTTTCAATACAATGTTTCGGTTGTCGTACTGGTATTTTACTGTGGAAATGTATTAAGAGTCATACTGGAGCATCATTGACCGTATGGTAACGGATTAAGAATACGGAGTGTCACCACCCCTATTCATCCCGTGGGTGTCGTAAGAGACGACTAAGGGAGCAAACTACAGACAAAAACACTGAAAAGAGAAGGAAAACTTGAAACAAACCCTGTACCAACCCGTCTGGCCAGCGTGGTATAGTAGGCTAAAACCTCCTTTCTAAGGCGAGGCCTATGTCCAGCAGTGGACTGTTAAAGGCTGTTGATAATGATGATGATGATGACTGGAGCATCTATAACTTGCCACCACATAGCCCTGGCATATGCGAGATTTGTATATCCAAAAGCATGGTTTGATTAGTTTTACTGATAATGTGTAAAATGATTTGGTTTATCGCTTATACTATTACTAGCTGACCCGCGAAACTTCTTTTGCGTGTCAAACATAATAAATTTTGTAAGATTTTCATTGATACTGGGCTCCTATTTGTCGTATCGTTACGTTATATAGCCTATAGACTTCCTCGATACATGGGCTATCAAACCCGAAAAGATTTTTTTATTTCGATCCAGTAGGTCCTAATCATAGTAGGATCAAAGAAACACTTTATAACCTTAGTATAGATTCGTAGTTATTTTTGGACTAAGTGCATTATCTGAACTTTGTCGTTATTCCCTAATACAGTAGTTTTATTTTACAATTAAGTAGTCCCATGTTGGGCGCCATAACATAAATGAATGTTATAACTTCGTTTTAAACAATATCCAGTCTGTTACGAGTATAAGCAAATATCAGATAGGGATAAATTGTAACTAACCAACGAACTTTATGTGATTTTTGTTAATAGTACAAGATACTAGTAGGTATTCTTTTATTACATTTTTTTTATTTTCCTCCTGTCTTTTTATCATACTTATGTTAAAAAATCCTGTAAAATATATTAATGCTAGTTTTGTAAAATAGATATGTTCGATATTTCTCCACAGTTATGCGATTACGCACAGGCGTGGGCGAACCATTTGGCCCACACGAACAAGTTCAGCTACAGGAATGACCGCGATGTCGGTCAGAATCTGTACCAGCGGCCAGTCAGTGCCATCCAGCCTGATGTCACTGGTAAGTTTATTTTTTAAACACGACGTTTGGGGAAATAGAAAACTCTTTTGTACCAACATTGAGATGGAATGTTTAAAAAAAATCAATACACCGTAACACCACCGTAACCATACAATATGTAAAAAATATATATGTACTATAAAATTTAAGTTGAATTGTTATAATTTGACTCTACAAATCGAAAAATATACTTAGAAGACTTTGTAAGTCGCAATTTCAGCCGTTAAATCATATGTATCTCGAAGTTATTGTTAAGTCGAAAATTCGTCAACTCGTTTTTTTTGTATTTCCCTTGACATTCGAGTTATAGAGATTCCACTAAGTAAGGGTTGAACCAAAAGCATATCAGTGAAAGCAACGATTTCACATAATTTTAATTTTTTTATGAAATAAAATATTTGAATTTGAGTGGCCTAGTTTTGTTCAAAGGTAATTTGTCAAAACTTTAAACAGTACGAGTATACTGTACCTACTACTCGTATGGAAATTAATCCAACACACGTTTTAATTTCAATAAATCACAAATATAACTAAGATTCTTTCGAAGCTTTTATTTAAAATTTATAACTTTTGTTGTACAGTACAGTTTCATTCTATAAGTATTATTTGTTCAAATATAGAATGAATAATTTTATATAACCTATGACAATAATTAAAATATAGCGATATATAAATTAATAGATCTTTTAAAGTAAAGCAAATCCTGTTCTGCACTAAAAACAACAATTTAATCTAAAAAGCTCAGTGCCCTATTTAGCAAAAAGACTTGATTACTTCAATGCTTCAATAACATTACAGGTCAAGAAGTGTCTTCCTATTGGTATGCAGCCGTGCGCCAATACAATTTTTTCAGGGAGTCTGATGTTCTTCATGCTAACGTCAACGCAGGTAACGTTATAGACAACAGACACCTATTTAATTCCAATTTCAAACTATCTATTTTAATTAATATAGGCACAACAACACGCGAAAAAGTGGCCATGCAGAGAAGTTGTATGTAACGATGGGACGAGTAATATTACGGCGCCATTGAAACCCACATCAATCAATTTCCAAAATAACCTGTGTCTCCATTTTTCAGGTCACTTTACCCAACTGGTTTGGGCGGCTACATCATTCTTCGGGGTGGGCAAGGCTCGCTCCAGGGACGGCAAAGTAATCGTCGTCGCGAACTACTCCCCTCCAGGTAACATCTCCTCACGATTCGAGGCCAATGTCCTGCCTCCTTTGCCGGAGAACTCTCCAGAACTACCGCTGCCTCCGGAACACTGACGTCGGTTTTCCATACGTGGCAGACGACTCAAAATCGATGCCACGTACTTACATTGATTTCTTATTGAGATTTACTTTTGAAATGGATGAACAATCCGACCAGTTATACGAATTTCTTCGAAAAGTTTTAATTAAGAAACATTTTGTTTTCGTTTGATATCGTTTTTGTATCCAACATAATACCAAATTGGAGATATTCGAATTTGTTTTATAATTTATTGAAAAACTTTTTGTTAAAAATGTTCTTATTTAAATGATATTAATTGACAAGTTGTTGTAAAGACGGATTCATTGCTAATTGGTATAGTAATAGGTATCCTAGCATTATCGCTATGCAGCGTCGGCCTAAACAATTTTTTTTTAAAGTTAAAATCTTAAAGTAGACGTAGTTTAGTTTATAATGGTCATGAACTAAACTTTACTTCTACTTTTAGCTTTTTTTATGACGCTTCAATGATTCATTTGAAGTGACCTATTAAATGCGATTTGAATATTTTACAGAATAGAACGAAATTCTATGAAGTTAAAATTAACATCGCAGCCCATGGAACGTAAATTTCGTAAAAAATTTAATGTAATTAAAGTTTTAGAATAAAATGCGTCAACGCTTTGATGTCAGCTTATTCATTAAGCTAAGTGCAGTTAAAACCACATTGATTATGAAAATACATCGACGCAGCAACAGTAGTGCACCAATTATTCCGTCTTAAGATATAAAGCCGTCCGCTTAGTTGATCAATATGTGTCATTGTTTTAAAACCAAGTTACAACATTATTTTTCCTTCTTTTGGGCCATTTAGCCACTCTATATAGTTAGTTAATCACTTCTTTGGACAGAAGGGTAACTTTCAAGAAAATTGTAATTAAACCATTCTACTTTAATAAGCTTAAAAACAAATATTTGGTGCTTGTAGAATTACCAAATTGTGTTTGTTTATATTTTTTATTTTAAGCTAATCCTGACTGTAAAATATTTAATTTCGACATATTTTGTAAAAACCAATATTATTTGTAAATAAGTTTTTGTAGTAAACCAGTCATTTTCATAGCAGAGGAATAATTAATAAAAATCACATCATAAAGAGATTACTTTTTATGATTTAATTAAACAATAGACAATGTAGGGTCTTAGAGTATATGCTTATAGAAGTTAACATCAACGTGCCTGTCATATTGGCAAATCAATTAAAATACATACAAAACAATTAAATTAAAACACCTGCTCTATTAAATCATAAAAATAAGTCAATTACTAGACTAAATAAATTCGCCAGTTGATATCCCCTCATAGTGTCCAATCACGTTCTGTGATTAAAAGGACACTAGAGGACGGGACCTCAACTGTGACACATAAAGGACGGGACAGACGGTTACACTATCGGACGCCGTTTTCCGTTTGGCCAATTTACTTTATTACTTTGTCCCGTCTGAAAACGATTACCTTCCCACGAAGGGATGAGACAGGCGCGCGGCCTGAATTGAAGCCTAATTTACATTACGAAATTTGTGGCAGTGGCATGAAATTAGTTTAGAGACATTAGGCTCCGTGTGGTGACGGATTAAGAATACAGAGTGTCACTACCTCTATTCAACCCGTGGGTGTCCTAAGAGCCGATTAAGAGAGCAAAAATACGGAGGGCAACAACACTGCAAAGAGAAGGAAATCTTGACACAAACCCTACACCAACCCGTCTGGCCAGCGTTGCATAGTAGTCCAAACCTTTCCTTCTAAGGAGAGCCTTATGTCCAGCAGTGGACTACTAAAGGCTGTTGATGATGATGACATTAGATTCATCAAGAGTTACATTGGTAAATGAATGTCTCTAGAATCCGAAACACAGTATCATCTGTATCTCTGATATCATCCGTATGACAACGTTTTAAAATACAAAATAAAGCTTTGATATTGACGGAGTCATGATCAAGTTTCAAGGTACTGAGTACTGAAACAAGTTTCATGACATTAATTTCATCACTCATTATACTCGCTTCGTAGTGTAGTGGGCTTAAATTTAGAAAAACGGCAGATAGATGATAATACAAAACCTAATGTATACATGCCTTTTTGTACCCATAAAAACAAACGATACAATAAGATGTTTGTTAGGCAATCTAAACTTGCTCGCAGACAGATACAAAAACTTGTTCCCATTAGATTTATTTTATTATTATATACTTCTCACTCTAACCATTAAATCACGTACACACGATAAACGAAATAGCTGATCAGCAGTACGAACTTTTACTAGAGAAATTGAAACTAATAACGCAGAATGGTTTTGAAACTACGAGTATAATAATTTGCAAATATGCAAGTGAAGAAACGAGTCACTTACCTACACATATATAAATATAAAATAAAATAGGTATGTACTTACTTACCGGAATTTCACACACATGTAAGCCTGACCAGAAGCCTATAGTTTATTTCATTTCTACTCGATCGTCACGGCGACCGCTTTCGGCGCTACGATTGGCACGCGATGAAATCTCCACCAATCGCAACGCTAAACTCGCTCGAGAGCGAGTCGATGTGAAATAAACTTGCACTCAGCCGATATTTCCAAAGCCGTTTGTGCATTTTTTAAATTTTCAACCTCATTACATCCTAATCTTTTTAATACATACTTAAGCGTCGTTTCTTAATCACATGAACTTCTAATACTTATCCATAGAGACGAATATAACATGAAGTATTTTATTAGTGCAGTGTACAAAGTTGTTTATACTTAGAATGCTTGTCCTGTATTGAAATCAGCAGTGCTATTCTCTAAGGAAACAGCCTTGCGTACAGCACTGCCTCAGCGTCGAACTTCAAACTAAGTTCGTTTGAAATTCGACGCTACAGCGCTGTCACAGCCTCGAATTTTAAACAAAGTTAGTTTGAAGTGCGACGCTGAGGCAGCGCTGTACGCAAGACTGTTTCCTTAGAGAATAGCACTGCAGTAAAGATTTAGGTAGGTAACACTTACGTCACGTACTTACTAGCTATCTTGAACAAAATGGTAATCAAACATTGCATTGTACTTACAATAAGGTTACAATTAGTGTTCTACTAAATATTAACGGTTGTTTTGCCCGAGCTTGATTATATTAAAGATAACCTAGATATCATTAGAATAACACACACCTTTTAGGGTGCATTTTATGAAAAATGAACTTTTTCATATTTATGTATTTTAAATACATTTAAAATTAACATCAATTACTAACTTGTGAATTATCCCATTCGAATATAATGCTCGACAAAATGAATAATAAATGTATCTAATAAAATACCCATTACATAATGAATATAAAAAAAAACTACGTTTCAAACTGTATACGATTATTACATTATTTATCCATGAAAAGAATAGTTTAGATTAGCGTAGTCTAACCGCGCTAGTGTAACCTATTCCAAAATTCACGCAGTTCAATGTTCACAGTAAAACACATCAATAAGCTATGGCTAGCTACAAATTCTGTTATTTCCCGTTAAAACAATCATTCAAAAATAGGGGTAACTATTATACTTACGAGTCTTTTAGGTTATTTAAGTATCTATACTAATATTACAAAGCTGAAGAGTTAGTTTGTTTGGACGTGCTAATCTCAAGAACTACTGGTTCGAATTGATAAATTATTTTTGTGTTGGATTGCCCATTTATCGATGAAGGCTATACATATAACATCACAATACACTGAGACCAAATCGGATCATCAATGAAAAATGTTGCAAAAACGGGGCAAATATTTATTTTGAGAGACGCAGACGAATTTGCGAGGATCAGCAGCATAAAAACTCTTACTGATAAGAGGGTCAATTATTGAGAGACTTGTGAAACTCCGTTTTTCGAGTACCTGATGGGTATTATTTTGCTTTTGTAAATTTTTATCAAAGTCCATTCGCGTTAAGAAAATAGTTACGCATCGATCAAGCCCCGCACACCAATCAGGTTATAGACATCTTATTTGATTGTCTTACGAGGAGCTAAAGTATACATTAAATACGTACCATAAATTTGCACGCACATTTAGATATCATAATATTAGTCGTAGATTTTTGGTGCTTCATAAAATTAATGTTTCATTATAATTATATAAAAATTAACTAAGTTAATAAACACGATAAACGATAGTACCTATCATATTTAGTTCTAAACATTGAGTTCTAAACACCATAATGCACATTTTCCTACATCAAACGGCCACCATATGTTGGATTAATCTGTTTAATACCCTTAAACAGAGTAAAAAGTCTAGTATTTATCGGTATTTCTCAAAAGTATTGTGCGTGCTATTACACTTTTGCGAGAAATTACGATCAAGAGGAATTACAATAAAAAGCGCAAAAGCAGACAGTGAAACGCGTGACGGGTTTGTTCTGGAGATCATGACGGTATGTCTCCCTGCATTTAATGTCTTTTCTATTATGCAAGAAACCTAGGATAGGACAGTTCTGTGTACTAAAAATATAAACCCAAAACAGGTTCTCTCCCCTCTTTTTTTTATTAATACGGAACCCCTCCAATATACAAAATTAAAGCAAAATACCTTTTATTTTTAGAACCCCAGTTTTAATTTTCACAATATTAATTTTATTATATATCCTGAGGGATAAATAGTTCATGTACTAGAATAGATGTAAGTAGGTAAATACGTAAAAATTAGTTTTTTTTTTCGAAAACTCGTCTTCCTAAATGGTTGATGATAAATAAATTATAATGTACACTTGTTAAGTTTTCCTGTTAAATATACGATCCTTTGTACGTATTGTATTTGTAAGTTATAGTTTGTCCAGTTGATGTGTTTAAGTGACCAATTAACAAGGGCTACGTCACGGTGGGCAAAGCAAGCTCCAAAGCTGGGATGTTCAAATCGTTAACCGAACGTGCTTTTTTCAAAAATTACCCAAATACGAAAACACGCCTTGTTCCAACTGCTAATCAAAACAATAATCAAACTGCTAATCAAATTTCATTTCACACAAATGAACGGTTTTAGTTTCGTTAGGAAACCAGAACCTCTGTTACCTACTGACTGGGTGTAAAAATTCTATTGTTTTAATACAATTTCTGTCAGAATCCTCTCGGTCTCTGGCTAAAATAAATATTTGAGATATTTTTTATTCATACCTGATACCTGGTTTTGCTCTGCCCTAAAACTAATTTTGGCTATGCCCTTGCTTAATTAATACTTTTAAGTTAGTGTGATAGTCTGGTGGAAATAGCCCATAAAATATTATCTAGTCAAAGAGATGTTTAGAAAGTTCTGGGTTTTTTTGTAAGTGTGTAAGCCAGAACTTTTCAAGTTATAAAACCCTGTTGACAGACCTGTTGGTTTAGTGGTTAGTGATCCTGACTGCTAAACCGGAGGTTGTGGCTTCGATTCCCACCCAGATATTGTGTGATGAGCATGGTCATTTGTTCTGTGTCTGGGTGTAATTTATCTATAATATGTATGTATTTAAATATATATAAGTATGTTTATCAGCAGTCTGGTTACCATAGTACAGGCTCTGCCTAGTATGGGATCAGACGTTTATTATTATTATATTATATAGGAAAACAGCCAAACTAACAAACAAATATTTAAAAAAGGGTTTCCATTCGGTTATCATTAAAAATATGATAAAAGTAAGTTTAAGTATCCATGAGAGAAACTATACTTAGATTTAAATTTGTCTGAAAGACACAATAATTTACAATAAAATCACTGTAAAACTATACTCTTTAATAAATTCAATCTGTTATACATATATCATATAAGTGTATATTTCTTTTTTATTTTGTAATTAATAATAATTAACCTCTCATAGGCCGCAATATGATGCTACACTGTAAAGTGCCTTCACCGTTAAGCGCTGTTCAGTGTAGCGGCATGTGAGGAGTTAATTTATATCCTTTCTTCTAACTCTGTTAATATCTGAATATTTTGTTTATTTATGATTAAGTGCAACAAAGATCTTATGACCTCTACTCGATACATTTTCTATTAACCATGCTTATTAACCATGGATTATGTAACTCTTATTAATCAGATTCCAAAAAATAAGTTATTTACTTAACTTTTTTTTTATATTTTCGTTTCTTCGAAAATTGTGAGAAAAGAAACTTAATTTTAAGATGATTTTGTAACTGGTAGAACTAATACTATTAATAATAATATTTATACACACAGGTCTAATATTAAATATGCACCAAAAGATCTGTTGTAATATTTAACAAAGTTGTTGAATAAAAAAAAAAAGATACATGGAGTAACATAGAAATGATACAAAAATAAATGTTAATTATTAGTTATATACTATAAACTGTTAGTAAAGCTGTAAGAAATTTTATTTTAATCTTTAAATCTCTACTGCACATGCTTTTAGGGCATACAGTTTTACACTAGGCCTACATACTTTTATTTGATCCTATTTTTAGGCTTGCAATCCTTGAATTCTTCTCAAGGTAGAATTGGTAGGAATTTAAAAGCGGTAGATACTTACCATTATTCCATAGTGTATTAGTACTTTACAATGTGCCAAATTAGAGCATACTTATTCAGCTTTCATGGTAGGATATAACATCAAGACATTACTGGAGGCATATTAAAAAAAATATACAGACAAAGGCATACCACACTAACAATACAATTTGATTTTTATTCATAAGTTGTTGTATGACCTTTATGTGCATTATTGTGTACTATCTAAATGTGTGATGTCATATCCTATCGGTAATGACCCTTAGAGCTTACAACACCAACATTTTGGTTACAATTATTGTAATAAGATGTCACTATGCTTTCCACACTCAGTATGTTTAATACATCCTGTTAGTTATTGAATAGCAATAGATTAAAATTGCTATAAACATTATGAAATCAATGTAATATTAAAATGATAATATAATTAAAGAAGTTGTTATGTTATTGTTGAAATAGATTGTTTACATTTGTAAGTTGTATGAATGTGTTAGATCGGGTAGAGTATTCTATGTTTATTATTAATTAATCAATGGCTGTGAATTGTTAACTGTTATATAGAACAGATATGCTTGGCAATATTTTAGTTAATAAAGTATTAAAATTTAATGTTGTTTCATTTTAATAATGAATTACATATTGAAAGCCAGTTCTAATGGCTCTTCTTCTCTTTGACTAACATACTTTTTGTGCTCATAAAAACAAAAGAATAAACACCTCATTCAGAAAAATTAAAATGAAAAACAACTACTATTTACTGATTATCTCACTAGTATTATAAAGAGTTCGTAATACTATGACAGTTTAATAAAACAACTACATAATACAAAACGATTTATTGATAAATTTAATCTTACACTTAAAATCCTTCACTCAGTCCATCTGTGTTTACAACTTGTGCATACATAATAAAGTCTCATCTCTTCTTCAGCGCGTCTTGTCTGTCCCTGGAAGAATACTGCCTCTCTGTTGTTGCAGTTAGGGCACATGTGATCCTTGGTGCGTGGAAGGGTCGGGTCGCTAACAACATCAGGATTTATATGAGTTAACTCGTCGACTTCGTGCATAATTTTGTTGACATACACGCAATTTGAGTCGGCTAGTTGCTTGTAATCACAGTTTCTACATGCGTATAGCAAAACTTTGTTGTTTTTATCTTCCCGCGGATATAACATGTTGTTGCACTCCTGACAGAACTGTATGCCAACGTAGCCCGGTCCACCATCCTTTCTTGCTAAGTTTAAAGTCATCCTGTAAAATCTTATATAGACTTAAGATACTATTTACTTTTTCAACCACGACCAGAATTTCTAGAAAAATTCGTCACAACAATCACAATTCACATTTCAAAGAGAGTGACTATTGTCAAAACAATTGTCAATGTTTTAACAACTTGAAGTCTGTGATTAAAAATGAACGAATGAAAACTTGTCACTGGAAGAGGAAATAAATTGTCCTAGAACTCTGACATTGGCGAAATTGTGGTTACACTCTACCACAAAGCCATTAACCAAAAGTTGAAGTTGAAGTCCTAGAACTCGTAGAAATTTATACAACGTCTAATTTAGAATTTTAAAGATAATTTTCATTGAAATAAAGGGTTATTGGTCCGGATCCTTTTAGGAAGTCATAGGGCAGGTCCTTCGCTACTATGTTGACCCCAAATCATCATCAAAGTTGATAGTTTTCGTAATAATTTAGTTTTATGTTTTTCTTAGAAAACCCAGCTCTTCAGTTGTTTAAAAATTCATTAACAACAATTCTCTGCTCAGATATATCATAAAATCATAATAATCACTATCCATACAGGAAGTACAGGCTGTAACGTATCCGAATTTATGTATAGCTGTCTTCAAAAATGTGTTTTCTCCAAAAAAGCTAGTGTTTTTTTTCTGCAAATTATTTTAATCTACACATCCAATCTTTGAATCCAAAAAGGTAAATAAAACTTAGTTACGTAATTGATAAATAATTATGATAAAACGAAAACCCAAAAGGGAACACCAAAATACTCCAAAATATTTTATTCCAAATTTCGAAGGTCCGATTCATAATACCGATTCATAATACCTAAGAATTATAATGTCTATTATTAAAATACTCGAAATTTATTTTACTGGTTCACCGTCCGAAAAACGACATTCCGATTTTCAATAATTCGAATAAACTCAAGGAGGTAATAAAAAACCCACTCGTACCACTGAGAGCGAAGAGCAAAATATATAATTCGTGTATTCTGCCTGTCATGACATGTGGATGCCTAATCTGGAGCTTAACTAGTCATAACACACATAAATTAGAAACTTGCCAACGCAGTATGAAACTAACCATACTTAACATCAAATTAAAAGATGAAAATAAAACTGAATACTATAAGGATGAAAACTAGAATTTGATTATTGTATTTAAAAGTCAGGAATATTTAAATTGTTGAATTATAAAAATAGGATAAATAAAAATCGGATATGTTATACTAGGCATTTTGAAACATATGAAAATCGGTATTTTGAAATTTGTATTAGTGACTGACGGAAAAAATTTTTGCGTAGTTAAGGTACACTACCCCGTAAAATAATAATAATGACTTCACACACACTGCTGTCTGATTTAAAGCTAGGCAGATCCTGTGCTATGGTAACCAGGCTGCTGATAAACATACTTATATATTTCTAAATACGTACATATTATACATCAATTACACCCAGATACAGAACAAACCATCGTGTTCATCACACAATTATGTGTCCTGGATTACAGAACCCACGACCTCCAGTTTAGCAGTCAGGGTCACTAACCACTAGACCAACAGGCCCGTAAGCTTCGAATGAGACTATGAATTTAATTTAGGAAAATAAAACAAAAGGAAATAATAAAGGTTTAGTTCAATTAATTTAAAAACCATTTTCAAAATGGCTCCTCCTATTATGTGTACGTTCGTCTCCGTAACTCAAGTGTTTGTCAAGGTCGTTTTCATTTCTTCAGCTGCACTTGTCATGCGATGTCTTAACTCATCTATGGATGGCACAGGTGACGGAGATACATCATAAACGAGGCTCTTCATGTGATCCTAGACGTAGTAATCGATCGGCACGAGGTCTGGACAACTCGCTGACCATGGAATGGGTACGCTGCCGATCCATCAATTAGGCACATGTCGATTTAGCCATTCACGAAAATTAATTCTGTTTTATGTGGGCCATCATGCTCCTAAATCATATGTTGTCGTGTAGCTAAATGTACATCGCTAAGAAGACCAAAAACATCATTTTGCAAAAAGCTTCCATAGGCTTGGCCATTTAAGTTATCGGCTAGAATGTAAGGGCCAAATTATCGTACATAATTCCCATCCAAAAATTAATTGAGAAACGTTTTAGAGACCCTTGAAACCTTTTCTTGTTTGGAGCCTGTCTCAGCTTATAAGTGAACATTGTTGTGAAGGAATGGTGCCATTTTGGGAAGCTGTATATTTGCTAATCTGTGAAAGAATTGTTAATACCGCTATACAGGATTAGCATTGATAACTGATGATTGATAACAGGATTAGGATTGGATACAGATTATTATTATGATTTTATAATTTACAATCAATAACCGCAATGTGAACTCTTTAAAATTGTAAACAAAATTAGATTAGGCATTAGAGCAGAGATTTAAATTTTTTTTTAAAGGAAGTTGGTTTTGGACCCTGGATACATTACTTTACTTCAGCACACATAATACTTAAACCTGTGTTAAATCTTTGTTTTAAGGGCCCGTGCGCACAACGTTATTTTACGTAGGATCTATATAGGACTATCCGCATTGGTGGAAAATAATTAGCGAGAAAAAAATCTGTGATTTGATGCAAATTGAACGCAATACGGTGGCGATTTATGTCTGCGCGATTAAAAACCTCGCTGTGAAATATCCCTGCACAGACGCGCTCTAACAGTTACGGTTTTTTCAGACACCAAAAACTTTCGAAAATAGCAACACTAAATTAGCTTCGGAGTGTTGGTAGCAGTGACGGTTTGAAGCCGATGGTTGGCTCGCTAGCTAGATAATTTCTTTTCCCATCCGTAGCCGATTGGTGTCGTGCTATCCAAATGGGTAAGGAATAGTTTTGTGCAGTATTTGTTATGGTTTATTTATTATTTTTGTTTTAAAAATGCGTGTATCAGTGTAGCAAAACTGCATGCGATGTAGGAGTGTAAATTCTCAATATGTTATCCCATAAAGTTGTAATTTATATGTGCATGCATAGGTGTCGGCCATGGCGCAGACATGTTTTTCTCGTGGTGTAAAAGTAATCGGTTTTCATCTCTTTGCCTCCGCGTTAATTACGAGGTGCAACCTAAGTTTTTTCATTCACGATATGTAGTTAAAATTATGGTGTATCGATTTCTGTGTCGTGCGTCGTAAACACAAGTGATAACCGGCAGCGTCGCTATTTCAGGTAAACCCCGAGGAATTCGCACAGCGCGTAAGCACGTGAACCATCGTCGTGAACAACGATGGGCCGACAAAGAATACAAGAAGGCTCACATGGGGACGAGGTGGAAGGCCAATCCCTTCGGTGGTGCATCTCACGCTAAGGGCATCGTCCTGGAGAAAGTGTAAGTACGTTACCTTCACATTACTAGAATGGTCTTGTGAGTTCATATATGTAGTGAGAATGGTAGTTGGTACTAATTTCTTCACAATTGAACTGAACATGTTGGAAGATATCAGAAGAACGAAGAGCTTGGAAATAGCGTAGCGTCCCCCCGCACTATTATGCCCTGTGAATGTGTTTTTTGTACTACAATCACAGGATAATACTGCGAGTGGCTGCTTCGCAATCTACAAGAAGAATCTGAAGATAATAGCAGTATTATGCATGGAAATTTTAAATCGTGACCTACTAATAGCATGGTATTAAGAATCTACATAATTTCTGAATGCTTTCCATCAGTTAAATACTTAATTCTACGACAGCAGTGGATTTCTACTAATGTTAAAACTTGTTTTATCAGTTTTTAATGTAAATACCACATGGGTCAATGAACTGTGAATGAGGTTATACACACGCATTATGTATGGTGTTTACACTCCATACAGTTATATTCACTAGATAATACTGTTATTTACTCGAAATAACTTAAGGTCAAGAAAGTTGTATCATGCTTATCAAGTGTCTTTACTTCAATGAAAAGAAATCGGTTCACTAATCTTAACTTTCATTATGACCCTTGTGAGTCATTCTACAGGAAGCAATTCCTTAAAAGTAACTCACTCAACATAGGGGTCTTATCTGTTTAAATAAATGTTAGTTAGGTCATTTAGTTCAAGATTAACATGTGGTATGTATGTATTTGTTTTACTTTTAAGCATTGTAGTGGCAGTAACAAACATAATATTTGACTACTAATACTTGTTCGTAACATGAGGTTTTACTTGTGTAGACTAAAATATTAGTAACATAACTCCACTACTATTAGTGTAAATATTTGCTGGGTATATTAGTGTCGGAGGATGTGATTTATGTATCCCGCTGCACAAAAATAACTGATATGTGATGAAAATTTAGATGTTTCTATTAATAGGTATGTATGGTAATATAATAATTTATTAATATTTTTAAAATACTACTCAATAAACATGTGTGTGTATAATACTATTTTTAACACACCCATTCTTATGCTAGTCAGCTCTTTTTCCCAGAAGGCTCTCGATTTCAAATGCAAATGTATGCATTTTTATTGGCTACTGTTATAACCCTCTTGCATAGAGAAATATAAAAAATGTACCTATCCTATTTCACTTAGAACGCAAAGTAAACCACAATATTTTCTATCAACAGTGGTGTTGAAGCCAAACAGCCTAACTCTGCCATCCGCAAGTGTGTGCGTGTTCAGTTGATCAAGAACGGCAAGAAAGTGACAGCCTTCGTGCCACGGGACGGTTGTCTCAACCACATTGAAGAGAACGACGAAGTGCTAGTTGCGGGTTTCGGTCGTAAGGGTCACGCCGTTGGTGATATTCCCGGAGTTAGATTCAAGGTGAGGAAAATTTTATCTAATAGGAACTTGAATTTCAAAATTAAAAAAAAAAATACTCGTTTATACGCCTAGATATTAGGAAATCTTGTGTTTTAACACAAAAAATGTTTGTATGTCCATGCCGTGGTGCAGTGAGTTCCATTAAACCCAATATAATGTTATTTTAGTGATTGTTTAACGAGTGTTTTTGTTTCACAGGTCGTCAAGGTAGCCAACGTATCCCTTCTAGCTTTATACAAGGAAAAGAAGGAACGGCCACGATCATAGGCGTAATCTACACTTGTGATAAGGTAAATATAAATGTTAATGGTAAAAATTGATGAGTTGCTTCTATGATTTGTTATTATATTTATTCAGCATTAAAGTCTGTTTTTACCTAAATGATGTAATTATAAATTTGCTACTGCTGAATGCCATGACGCAACTCACTAACTGATAAAACAAAATTATGCATAAAATGCAATGGAAAATACAATGTAAATAACCTCTAATTTATTGTTTCAGTGACCACGTGTTGCAAAGCTGTGTTGTTAATATAAGTGTACATTATAAAAAATGTAAAACTTAGTACAAAATAAAAGTTGTACGCAAAACGTATTTTTATTCCCGTTACCTAACCTGCGTCTATGACGATCCTGAGCAAAGCCATAGGTAGGTACGCACCTATGTTCTTCACCGGCGTGGAGACTAAGCTATACATCCAGGCCTTAGCCGACCAGAGCTTCAAGTGTGACGCCTACTTGTGCTACGACGTGTTGCTGCTGTCGTTCGGAATGCGGCAGAAAGCTGTCGCGTTCGCGTTTAGAGATTTGTTTTGTTCAGAGTGCCAGTTCAAAATGGACAGGATAAAGAGAGTAGTGATATAGCGTACATTTTGCAAGTAAAGCCAAATTAGAATAACAGGACTAAAAAACGTAGGTAGATACTTTCTGGGTTCTTTCTTGGAAACAGGTATGGCAATTTCCGGATTTAATAGCAAATCCAGATATTTTTAGATTATTATAGAACAGTTAACAATGATTTCAACAAATTAATGCTAGCTGCGCCGAAAGCATGCGGTAGCATACCTACTCAAATTGCATCGTGCATCTTGTTCCGCGCCACCTCCCTGCATTCATGCAATCTCATTTTGTTCGTGTTGCAGAGCGGTTCGCCGAGTGCGGTCCCACGCCCGCCCTCTTTCTCGCTCTAGTAAAAGACAGCTATAAGTGCCAGAAAAGGATAGAAACATAGGAATATGCGATTCGGTGCAGCCAGATGTAGCTCAAAACCATATGTATTCTTAAATTTGTGTGCGTTACCCCAGCAAAATAATGTCGAAAATGGTCATTTAAACGTTATAGATAATTAGTTGCTGCCCTTCTGTAATTGTTAAGCACATTTTTAAATTTGTTTCACTTAAACTTTTTTAGTTATTTCAAAAAAACATTTCCTGCTGGGGTAACGTTTGAAACGTTACCGCAGCCAGACATTTTCTTTTTTAATTGTAATATTGAAATAAATTTTAGCTAAATAATTAGTTATCTGGACTAGGTAAATGTTACAACTTATTTGGTATTTGTATTTTCTTCGGCTGCGAAGTTATTCGAAATCCTGCTGGAGTAACGTTTGTGGGTTTGCTGGATCTCTGAAACGGGTAAGCGTATTGTAACCATCTTTTGTACATAACTTCTTAAGGATTAGTTTTAATTTGTTCGACAATAAAATAACAAAAATAATGGACCGTTTAAAAATTATTTAGGTAAGTATGAAAACACTTCAATACGTCCTAACACTTTAAATAAGACCTCTAAAGACTTACTTGAAACGTTATTCTATTGCTTGTAACTACCTTCAAATGTATACGAATTTTCGTAAGAATACTGTAAGTGACTAAAAAGTTATGATGAAATGTAGCTCTCCACGTTCACGATCACAATGTGTGCGGCCTTTTTTGGCCACCGATAAACCTGTGTGTGGATATATAAACTGAATGTTATGCCCATAATTAGTTGTTTAGTTCAGTTGTCTACCTGTAGAATTTCAGCGTCGTACATATAATAATTTACGAGATAATTAAATAAAAGTCATTAGAAGGTGCAAGTCCGTGGTAATCCGACCATGTTTAGGTGGTTACAAAAAAGCGATCACCCAGTACATTGCGCTGTCTTTTAAAATGTTTAGTGTAATACACCTTACGATTTCGGTACAGTTGCGTACAGTGTTAAATACATTCAATATTTATTCATTATTATTACCTTGATTGATCTTAAGCACTAGTTTCTTTACTTAAAATTTATTTAGTCTTTTTTACTACCGGAGCTACAATCAACAGAAAATCTGCACTGGTCCGCTAAAATTATAAATATATAGATACATGTATGAACGATTCACCTGACTGCAATAAAACGAAAATTTAAACCAATAAGAAATCGTTTCATTTATTTGATTTTTTTTTGTAAAGAAATAACACTAAAGTAATTGTATTTTATTTTGGTGTGTATAGAGCTTAGACTTGAATGCATCAAAATATTAAAAGCAACAAGTCATCTACAATAAGTTAAAATAGACCGAATAGTAGAAGAATACAGTTGTAAATTAGAATGCATCAACATTGCATCGCCCAACAGTCGTATATCCGTAAGAGTAGGTAATATTGTTCTGTGGTCTATACCTAGAACCGAGAATTATCTATACCTATGTACCTACCGTTAAGCGTTGAGCCCGTGACTGTTGATTTCTGTTAAAAACCAACAGTTGTTGAATGATATTTTGATATAATAACGGTAATTTAATTTATCGAGTGAAAGTGATACATTTTTATAGATAAAATTATTGGTCAGATAATATTTGTCAATCAAGAATCGCTGATAATACATCCTTCGCTAGAACGCGGGAGGGGAGGGGCGAAGGGATACTTCATTGTTTGCAATTTGCATCTAGTGCACTAAACTTGACCCTTAGGCAGATAATATACGTGTTGTAAAGTACGTGTGCGCTTCCGCTTTCTATTTTTGCAAATATTTATCGTATTCTTGAGAGTTCTTCAATATGTGTGTACCTAATTACTAATAATAGGCATTAATGCTAATTCGATTCAATTTAAGTAATTGTCAATTCTTGTCTTAGGATATTAATTACTAATGCTAATATTGAAATTTCGTTCAGGGTGAACAAATTAAAAACGATCATAACTTTTAGGTAGGTATATCACTTATTACCAATTTTACATAAATAATTTATTTTATTATAATTTAACTCACCGCGATTTTGTGATCAAATATTTTATTTTCTCCAACATTATTATAGAAATAATGCTATACAGAGTTTGTTCGCGATATGCTAGCCTAAGTCGATTCATCACTTAAAAAAATCCCCATCTATTCACAAAATACCTATTTACAACGCATACGTTACACTCTTCAAAACTTATCATTTCATTTCATATTTCTTAAATTACCTATACCTACCCTAAAATTAAACTTCAATTAACAAATACTACGCAGGTACCAATTCTATGAACAACTATAAACAATTCACCTAAACATTACGAGAAAACAAAAGCATTCAAAACAATACCTAATCTCCCGGCTGATTATTAATTATGCAATAAACAATCCTAAATAAAAAATATTTAAAAAACATGTAGTTTTTTGTAACACTTATGTACATATCCGTAGTAAACTTGCAAATAATATCCTACATATTTTAAAAGCCAGCACAATGTACTGGGTGATCGCTTTTTTGTAACCACCTAAACATGGTCGGGTTACCACGGTCTTGCACCTTCTAATGACTTTTATTTAATTATTTCGTAAATTATTATATGTACTACGCTGAAATTTTACAGGTAGACAACTGAACTAAACAACTAATTATTGGCATAACATTCAGTTTATATATCCACACACAGGTTTATCGGTGGCCAAAAAAGGCCGCACACATTGTGATCGTGAACGTGGAGAGCTACATTTCATCATAACTTTTTAGTCACTTACAGTATTCTTACGAAAATTCGTATACATTTGAAGGTAGTTACAAGCAATAGAATAACGTTTCAAGTAAGTCTTTAGAGGTCTTATTTAAAGTGTTAGGACGTATTGAAGTGTTTTCATACTTACCTAAATAATTTTTAAACGGTCCATTATTTTTGTTATTTTATTGTCGAACAAATTAAAACTAATCCTTAAGAAGTTATGTACAAAAGATGGTTACAATCCGCTTACCCGTTTCAGAGATCCAGCAAACCCACAAACGTTACTCCAGCAGGATTTCGAATAACTTCGCAGCCGAAGAAAATACAAATACCAAATAAGTTGTAACATTTACCTAGTCCAGATAACTAATTATTTAGCTAAAATTTATTTCAATATTACAATTAAAAAAGAAAATGTCTGGCTGCGGTAACGTTTCAAACGTTACCCCAGCAGGAAATGTTTTTTTGAAATAACTAAAAAAGTTTAAGTGAAACAAATTTAAAAATGTGCTTAACAATTACAGAAGGGGAGCAACTAATTATCTATAAAGTTTAAATGACCATTTTCGACATTATTTTGCTGGGGTAACGCACACCTTAAATTTTACTTATTAACTCCCCGCAGTTCCACCTTATGTTAATTGCTTCGCTGCTAAGGGTATTAGCGTAATGTTTCATGCCAACTCTATCCAGTAAAATAATTATTGAAAACTTGTAGTCCATAGATTTAGCGCGTTAAACGAATAATCAAAAAAGCTTCAACTTAAGGCCCGAATCGATTACTCGCGGCAAGTATACATACATACTCAAACATTGGCTTGGGCAGCAGTCGTGCCGAATAGGTACCGCGCCAGCCAATTCAAATACTGCCCGCTCAAACATTTGTGGAGCGATCCATATTCTGTTGTTTTAAAGAACGCGCCAAGTGACGCACACACAAAAATTAACCGTCTGTTTACTACGTCTTGTTTATTACGTTTAAGTACCGATTATTGCTATTTCTGAGATTACAAAGGATTTTATGGTCTATTTTAAGAGAAATGCACGCGGCATGTGCTTTCACATTCTTATTAACTAAACTAAACATTATAAATCGACGTGCTAAAACAGTAATACAACTGCTATTGCTAAATTTCGCGCGGAACGATGACCAAGCATGGCGCGATTGATTGAGAGTTCAAAGGATTTATTGTCTATTTAAAAAAATGCACGTATTTAGGATTGTTTATTGCATAAATGTTTATTATAGGGTAGGTATAGGTCCGACATGCCACCGATAGGTGGTATCCGAGGGGATTTCCGCACGGGAAAAAAAAAGGGTAGGTATATGTAGGTAATTTAAGTTTTGGGAGTGTGACGTGTACGTTGTAAATAGGTATTTTGTGAATCATCATCAGCCTATCGCAGTCCACTGCTGGACATAGGCCTCTCCCATTGCACGCCACTTCGATCGATTATGTGAATAGATAGGGATATTTTTTAGATAGTGTTAAGTGACGCATTGACAAAGGCATATCGGGAACAAACTCTGTATTGCATTATTTCTGTAATAAAGTTCGAGAAAAAAAAATAGTAGACAATTTTTGATCACGAAAATCGCGGTGAGTTAAATTATAATTTTTTAATTAAATTATAAAAATAAGTTATTTATGTAAAAAAAAAGCCGTGTGGTGTCGTGGGACACCCGATAGGAACGAAGTTGTAACGATCGAGTAAAACTGATTCGGCACATTTTAATTACAACGCCATCTATGAAAGCGGCTATTACCTACATATTTTTCAGTTGGTTTCTAATTAAAACAATTTATACATTGGTAAAATCTCCTTGAGAAATGATTTCCTATCTATTCGATAGATGGCGCTGAATGACTGACATAAAAAGATAGAAATGAAAATATCTGGCTTGCTTTC